TACAGTGGTAGTATTTGTTTAGATATTTTAAAGGAACAATGGAGTCCAGCTTTAACTATACCAAAAGTTTTATTATCAATTAGTGCTTTATTATCAGACCCGAATCCAGATGATCCATTAGTTCCAGAAAGTGCACACATTTTTAAGACAGATAGAACTAGATTCGAAAGTACTGCCAGGTAAGTTTTATCATCCAAAATAAATCGACAAGATTTGCTGAATATATATACTAATTTCTTTTCTTTTTTTATTTTCCCTACAGAGAATGGACCAAAAAATATGCATCATAAAATAATCATAAATCCACATAGTTATTTGCTCTCTATCCACTCCCATATGCAAAGATAGAAGCCGCCTCCCCTATATTTTTAGAAATAGGCACCTGTTGTTCACTTTATATATTTAAAATAAATAATATTGTCTATTTTCTAACAATAAAATTTTTTATTTTTTTTTATTTTTTTATTTTTTATTTATTTAAAGTTATAATTTAGTTTAGATTATTTATTATTGTATTAAAAATGGTTTAAAAGATTAATATTCCGAGTCTTTAATAACAAAAAATTATAAAGTTAATTAGCTTATTATTTTTTTATTTACAAATTTACATTTTATTTTGTTTTATTTATATTTTATTATTGGTCTTTAAATTTAAAACCCATTTCTTTTAAGAATTCGGATGCCTCTGCTCTATGATTGGGGGGTATACCTATAAAATAAAAATGGTTAATAAAAATAACAATCAAACTTATAATATTGTATTTTATACCTTTCCAAATTTCTTGTATTGCATAGTTTGCTCCTGATCTAAAACCTCTCTTTAACCCATTAATAAATCCTTGACCAGTGATTAGATAATAAAAACCAAAAATAAAAGATAAAAATATTGTTAATGCTGTATACTGTTTCTTTTTAGTTGAATCTAATTTACTGATGGCTTTTAATAATTCACCAATTACTTGGGCTTGTTTCATTTGGAATTCAGATCTTTCTTCATTATTAATATTTATACCGCCTCCTTGATCATATCTCTTTCTTTTTTCAGGGTCTCCTAAAACCTGATATGCTAAATTAATTTGTTTAAACTTTTCTTCTGCTCCCGGGTCTTTGTTTTTATCAGGATGATATTTTAATGCAAGTTTTCTATATGATTTTTTTATTTCATCTTGAGTACAGTCCCTATTTACCTCTAATATTTTATATAAATCCATATTTTCTTTCATTTTAATTTTGTTAAATTAAAAAATAAAAATAAAAATTATTAAAAAAAAAAACATAAAAATAAAATAATTTAAAAATAAAATTAAAAAAAATATAAAAAAAAAAAAAAAAAAAAAAAGATCAAATTTTTAAGTCTACATTTATAAATCTTCTATGGATTTATTTTGGGATATGTATTAACACTAAACATCATTATTTATGTTTTAAATTCTAATTTTGTATGAAATAGTAAATAGAAAAGAAAAATTTATTTATTTATGTTAAAAGTTTGATAAACAAAAATATTTTATTTATTTTATTACAAGAATTGTATAAATTCATTTTTTAAATAATTGTTTTAAAGAATTAGCAGAATATTCTTAAACAAAAATTCGAATTTTATTTATTTTTTTTATTTTTTATTTATTTTTTAAATTTTATTTTTTTTTTCAAATTTTTTTTTAATTTAACTTTTTTTTTAATTTTTTTTTTCATATTTTTCATAAAGGAATTATTTTACAATGAGCAGAGTTTTAAGTATTGTTACAGGTGCCAATAGAGGATTTGGTTCATCAATTTGTCAAGAGTTTGTCAAATTCAGCCCAAATAAAGAACAACACCTCGATTTCATTTTATTTGCCAGATCTGCAGATTCATTAAAAAATACTAAAGAATCAATTAAAACTCTTTCAAAGGTTGCAAATGTTATTGAAGAATATGGCGTAGAAATGTCAGATATTCCACAAGTTGAAAAAACATTTAAAGATTGTTTAGATAAGGTAATTATATAAAAAGCGATTTATTTTTTAAAAAATAATTTATTAATTTTAACATATTATTTATTTATTTAGATCGAATGGAATAAATACTCAAAAATTTGTTTAGTTAATAATCATGGTACCCTTTATAATTTAGATAAAATTGACACATTTACAGATTTTCAACATATTCAAAAAAATAATGATATCAATATAACTTCATTTGTTACAATTTCATCATTGTTTTTAAGAAAGGTTAAAGCATTACCAAACTTTAAAGACCTCGAAGTAACAATGGTTAATATCACTTCATTAGCAGCAATTAAACCATTTGAATCTTGGGGTTTATATTGCTCATCAAAAGCTTTTCGTGAAATGTTTTCAAATGTTATTGCCGAAGAAAATGTAATTATACATTCAACTAGTTACAACAATTTAAATTGATACTAATATAATATAATGTTTATTTTATATTATTTTTATTTTATATTATTTTTTAGAAATCATCACCAAATTTCAAAGTTTTAAATTATAGTCCAGGTCCATTAGATACTGATATGCAAAAAGAGGTTAGAGAAACATGCTCAAGCGAAGAAACAAGACAATTCTATTTAGAATTAAAGAAAAATAACAATCTTGTCGCACCAGGAGACTCTGCAAGAGCTCTTGCTAAATTAGTTTTTACCTATGAATTCACCACAGGACAACATATTGACTATTATGATATCAAAGAAAAATAAAAGAAGTTTAAAAAAAAATTAAATTTATATTATTTAAAAAAAGTTTTTTTTTATTATTTTTTTGTTGGTATTACATTGCTTAGTTTTCTTTCTTCGTCTAAAAGTTTAAGATTTTTGATCCAACTATCTTTAATTTTTTCGTTTTCTGCTTCAAAGGTAAAGATTAATGGTTTTTTGCCTTCAGGGTCGGAGATGAATCTAAATTTAGTAGGACTACCCGGAATTTCTTTAAACTCGCTATTATCTAAATTGATTTCAGCAAAGTACTCTATTATCTTTGATCTGAATGTTTTGTGTTTACCCAAGACAATTAAATCATTAAATAGGTACACATTAAACTGGCCATTATATTTTTTACTTGAACATGTTATATCTAATATACCTTCTTTTATCCATCTTCTAGATGATTTGAATAATGAATCCTAATATAATAAAATAAACAAAGATTTGTTAATAATTGGATAAATTAATAAATATACTAGTATATTTTACTTACAGGACAACCTTTTAATTCTTTTGCAATAGTGACAACTCTATCTTTATTTTCTCTTAGTTTTTTATTATTGTTAATATAGTCATTAATTTTGTGGATGGATTGATGAGCTTCTAAAAGTTTTTGATATTCTGGACTGTTTTGATTTGTATATTTTAATATTTCTCTAAATAATAGTTCATATCTATAGTATATATAAAAAGTATTAAAGGTATTAGTTTTTTTTTTATAATTTATTTTTTTTATTATTTTTAAATAAATACCTTGGTATACGTTGAACTGGCATAATTAATAATGATCTAATATCTAAAGAGTATTTGTATTTACTTTGACAATCTTTAAAGAATTTTGGTGAGGTTTCTTCGATTTTCTTTAGCTCTTCCATTGCTAATTCATAGTTGTTTATATATGCAACATACAGTTTCATTTCTTTTGATTTTTCTATATAGAGATCACCAATCTTTTGTTCATTCTCTGGTAAACTGAATTCATATTTCAATTTAAGTAGTAAATCCTTGCTGATAACCAGAAGAGCTTCAACATTGCTAAACAAAGCATTGACATCTGATTGATTAATACTGCTCATTTCTTTGGTATTTAGTTTACTTTCTAATGGAAGCTTATAATACAAAAGTAGCTTTTCCAATGAATCTGAATAACTTTCTTCGGTTGATAAAAGCTCATTTAAACTTTTCATTCTTTTTCTTTGATTTAGTTCGGCCTCCGAAGTAATGGTTTCTTTATTTTTATCTCCTTTTATTGATAGATCATTTAATTTCTTCTCTATTGGGTATTCTTTTGATATGTTTTTGGTTTCTTTAATGCTTTCTTGTTTTTGTTGAGGTGTTTGAGAAGGTGTAGGAGTACTGTGTTTTATTTCAGCAGGTGGGTCTAGAGGTTCTAGATTTTTTCTTTGTTTTTGAAATGGTTGTTGTCCTTGGGTTGTTACTGGTTCTTGTTTTATAGAGTGGAATGAATTGGATTTAATTAGTGTTGAGCCTGAACCATTTATATTGTTTTGTGTTTGTTCAAAGTTATATTTTTGTTCTCTTTGTCTTTTTTGTTCCTCCAATTGTCTTCTTTGCTGCTCCTCTTTTTGTCTCTGAAGTTCAATTTGTTGTTGCTGTCTCTGTTGTTGTCTTTGTTGTTCAATTTGTTGCTGTCTTTGTTGCTGCTCTCTTTGTTGTTGTTCTCTTTGTTGTTGCTCTCTTTGTTGTTGCTCTCTTTGTTGCTGTTGTCTCTGGTGTTCAATTTGCTGCTGTCTCTGGTGTTCTCTTTGCTGTTGCTCTCTTTGTTGCTGTTCTCGTTGTTGTTGCTCTCTTTGTTGTTGTTCTCTTTGTTGCTGTTCTCTTTGTTGCTGCTCTCTTTGTTGCTGTTCTCTTTGTTGTTGCTCTCTCTGTTGTTGTAAAAACTTGTTGTTGCTGTTGTTGTTGCTGTTGTTGTTGGATGAATTGCTCTTGAGGGGGTTGTTGTTGCTGTTGTTGTTGGATGAATTGCTCTTGAGGGGGTGGTGGGAAAGATTGACTACGTGCTAATGGAGAGCCTCTTTGTTGCTGTTGTTGGGGTGGAGGTTTATAGTATTGTTGTTGAGGTTGAGGTGGGCCACCATATCTAATCATTGGTGAAGGTGGTTCTCTATGGTCGAAATCGTCAAAATTATATCCGTATGGGGTTTGATAACCTATAGGTGCATTATTTCTTTCAATAACTCTATATTGGCCAATTACTGGATCCCAAGTTACAGTTTCATTTGGTTGAAAAACAGGAACATAACCTGGTGGTGGTGGTACTGTCATTCTACCTTTTGGTGGATAGGTAGCTGGTATTGGGTGGGCTCTAACTAAATCATTTCCATTTACCTGCACAGGAACACCATTAACATAAGTAATTGAGGCACTTCGTGGGGGTGGTCTATGTGATAATCCTGGGAATAATCTAAGACTATAATCATCCATTACTTGCTTTAACAAAATTTATCTATAATAATTATTATTATTATTATTGGTATTTTTTTTTTAAATTGTGTAATTATTATTAAAAATTATTATTGTTTTATTATTATTTATTTAGTTGAAGTGTTTTTTTAAAATCTTCATTTTTATTTAAATTAAAATTAAATAAAATTACATTCGATATTTTAAATAAATAATTCTTTTTTTTTTTGCGGATCTAATAAATTTTTCATTTTTAAAAAATAAATATTAAAAATATAAAAAAAAAAAACAAAAATGAAATAAAAAATTAAAATTAAAATTAAATTAATTTGTTTTTAAAAATTTAATTTTAATTAATTTTAATTAATTTTAATTTTAATTTTAATTTTAATTTTAAATTGGTATTACTTTTATTATTTTTCATTAGATTGTTTTATTTTTATTTTATTTTTTGGCAAAAGTCCTTTTTTTTTCCTTTTTTCTCTTTTTCAAAAGTAATAAATAAAAAATTAAAACTTTTTTATTTTTTTCAATTTTTTTTCTTATTTCATTTTTTTTTTTAATTTTTTTTTATTTTTTAATTTTTTTTTTTTAATTTTTTTTTTTTTTGATTATTTATTTTTAATCTATTAATTTTTTATTTATTTTTTTTAATTATACTGCAAAACCATCATGGTAAGGTCTTGATGATGATTTCACAATTTTTTAACATGATTATTAACTTAAATTTTTTTAATTTATAGAATAGATTAACAACTGATCAAAAACAAAAGTGTGTGGATTTTATGAGCATCACCCAATCAAATGAAATAAAGGCAATTCAATATTTAAGAGATGCCGGTTGGAATCCAGAAAATGCCATTGACAGATATTATTCAAACCCAGCAAATATTACAGAGCCAAGATTAGATAAAAAAGCTATTGAGGCTTTATTTAAAAAATATAAAGGTAGGTATTTAAAATTTTTTTCTCAAGACATACCAAAAGAAATTCTAATTGTTAAATGTTTTATTTGTATAGATGATGAGGATTCAATTTCAGAAAATTTAGTTAATCTTATCAAGGATGTAAATATTTCAGAAGAATTTATGGAATTTGCATTCCTTTGGAAATTTAAAGCTAAACAAATGGATTCAATTTCAAAAAATGAATTTATAGATGCAATGGAAAAAACAATTAAATGTGATAGTCTCAAATCATTGGGAAATTATTTTGTTCAAGTCAAACAGCAATTATTATCACCAGAACCAAATAACCCACACTTTAAAGAATATTATCAATATATTTATGATTTAGGTAAAGCTACTAATCAAAAAAATGTTTCACTTCAAATGTGTATTGAACTCTGGACAATTGTATTAAAACCAAAATTCGCAGATATTCAAATTTGGTTTGATTTCTTAAACTCAAATCATAAATTAGCAATCTCAAAAGATACTTGGAACCTATTTTTAGATTTTATTAGAATTGCAAATGATGATATCTCAAAATATGACTCAGATGGTGCTTGGCCTGTATTAATCGATGAGTTTGTTGATTATTATAGAACACATAAAAAATAATAAATAATAAATGATAAATAATAAATAATAAATAACAAAAAGTAACAATAAGTAACAATAAATAACAATAACAATGAATAACAGTAACAATAAGTAACAATAAGTAACAATAAATAACAATAAATAACAATAAATAACAATAAATAACAATAAATAACAATAAATAACAATAAATAGCAATAGATAACAATAAATAACAATAAACAAATAATAAATAATTATATAAATAATAGACAAGAAAAACTCTAAAAAATAAAAAACTAAAAAAAAAAAAATATTTATAAAAATAAATAATAATAAATTTAAATAATTATTAATTATAATATTTTTATAGATTATAAATTAAAATAAACAAAATAAATATTTTTCAAAAGATATTTATATTAAAATTTATTTTATTATTGTTTTAATTAAATGATGCTAGTTTTTCTTCTTTTTTATCAAATAATTTGATGTGAATTGAGGAGAAGAAATCTAAACCCATATAGGTATCAGAAAATAATTTGATATAGTAATTAGTTGAAGATTGACCAAATGGGGCTTGATCAACTTTAAAGTTTGCTGTGATTGTATTTGAAATCATTTGGGGAATTCTCTTGAAACCAACCATTTGTTCTTTTTCATTAGTTAATACTAAAATCCAACCTTCATCTTTTTCTTTTGAATACATTGGGGTGTAAGCATGTCCATTGGAGAATTTCTTATTATCTCTAGTGACTCTAACTTTGATATTAAATTCTTGGCCAGAGAAAACTTTATCATTTGAAATTGTATGGTGAATTGAAATTCTTGGTAAATGCTCAAAAACATTAATAAGTTCTTTAGTTTGAGTTTCGGAGAGTAAGCCGTTGCTTAAAATGCATGATCTTAATTTATCGGATGGTACTTTGTTGGTTAATTGAGCGAGATTTTCGATTGGTTGGGTATTTTCTAAAACATTTGATGAAACAAAATCAGAGATTTCTTTATTGAAATGTGGAAGTGTCATCAATGATGAATCATAGTCCCAACGACCTTGAATTAACATTTGTAATAATCTAATGGTTAATACAGCAGTTTGAAGATAACCATTTTCAAATGCAACATCGATCATAGCTTGAAGAATACGAATACCTTGATCGAGAGCTGACTTAGTATCTGTAGTATAATCTGATATTGGTAACTGACATCTTTGGAAGTGAGCTTGTAATAGAAGATGAACCTTTGTATGTTCATTTTCATAATGAGATAATTTGATTGGGAGTTTTTCATTTAATTCTTCATTTAAGATCTCTTCGTTGTGTCTAACTGGGAACTCATTGTATTCAGCAGCATCGCAAAGAACTCTTAAGAGAGTCTTAATGTCGCTATCTCTTCTAATATTTTCAGAGAAGTTTTGAACAGTTCTATAGTTGAGATAATAGAATGAAGAAATTTTACCCATTGATAGTGGAACGATTTCATTATAGTCATTAACTTCAATACAACGTGATTGTTCGAGATCACCTAAAGTTTTATCCAAGAGATCAGAGAGGTATTGGTTAACACTTTCAACACTATTATCTTCTAGGCCATAATAGGATGGTGAAACGACCAATCTTCTGAAAAAGAATGTATTAACCAACCAGTTAATACCACCTTGTTTGTTTTGAATGGTACCTGATACAATTTCGGCATTGATGTGATCATGAAGAAATTCTTTAAGATGACTTTCTACTGGGAATGGATCATAAAGGAATTTCTTATAAAATTGTTTCTTTGGATCGTGTACCATTACAACGGCTTTACCTTCTTTATCGAATTGTGGACGACCGGCACGACCAATCATTTGAAGTACATCGGTAAGTGGGAAATCGACATAACGTTTGGTTCTACCATCAAAATATTCTGTACCCTTAATGATAACTAAGTGTGCTGGTAAATTTACACCCCAAGCCAAAGTACTAGTAGAGATAAGAATTTGAATTTTATTCTCACCAAATAATTTTTCGCAAATTGTACGATCGGAGTCGCTAAGACCAGCATGATGCATACCAATACCGAATGAAAGGGTGTGTCTAAGATGAGCATCTTTAATTTTGTCGAGATATGGTTCGATATCAAAATCTTTAGCAATCCATTGAAGTGGGTCATTATCGACAACTAAATAAGAGATTAGATCTAAAGCTGTTAAACGAGTTTGTCTACGAGATGATACGAAAATAAGAACTGGCTTTCTTGGTGAATAGGTTGAAATTGCAGCAAAAGCTGGTTTGTTCATAGTTTGCATACGTGGGCAATAGTTTTTACCTTGGAAACCCTGAATATGAACCTCGATTGGTACTGGACGACATGATGGTCTAAAGTTAAAGAGACCTACTTTATCAATACCCATCCAATCTGATAAGTCAATAGCATTGGCCATAGCAGTGGATAAACCAACGACACGGATCTTGCAGCCAGTTTGTTGAGAAATCAAGTTCATACGACTTACGATTACTTCTAAAATTGGACCACGTAATTCACCAATTAAATGGATTTCATCTATAATTAATAGGGATACGGAGGTTACATAGCTACGATTCTTCCAATTTCTACTAATACCATCCCATTTTTCTGGAGTGGTAGTAACAATATCTGCATTTTGAAGTGCAATCATATTTGGAGTGTAATCACCAGTTAATTCGACTAGTTTTTTACCCAATTTCTCTTGGAATTTAACTTTCCAATCATTCATTCTTTCACGAACCAAGGCTTTTAATGGAGCAATATAAACAACCTTCATATGTGGTTCGTCACGGAATACTTTGAACATTGCTAACTCTGCGCAAATAGTTTTACCAGAACCAGTTGGTGAACCCAAGAGAACATTATGGTTTGTATAGTAAAGAGTATGGAAAACTTGAGTTTGAATTGGATTAAAGTGGGAGAATTTAAAGAGACTTTCGAATTCTTTATTCTTCAATGCCTGTAATGGTAATGGTTGAAGATCTAAAAGCTCGGTATTAACTACACGGTTTTGTTGTGGTAAAACTAAATGACGGAATGAAATTTCTCTAACACCTTCACTGCCTAACCAACGATCAGAAATATAATGGCAAAAGAATTGACTTGGCATTGGGTTTGGGAGTGGAATAATACAGGAGAGTTGAATTGGATCATTTTGGTTGAAAACTTTTTTGCTCAACATAAAGTATTCTGAATGGAAAATATATTGACTATCGCTATCTTCAATCCAAATCCAGAATGGTTGGCTGTCACCATGAATCTTATCGTTCCATTGGAAAATAGGTATGATTTCGATATTGATACGAATAATATTTGCTGTAATGGGTTGCACTTGAATTTCAAAGTCTAATCTTGGGAATTGTGATGCAACTCTTTTAGTTGCTTTACCAATGATATGATTACCTAATACATGAGCCAACTCACTAACTTCCATATCACAAATGTCTTCTGGTGACCATTCTTTGTCTTCGATTTTCTTTAATGTGTCTGCTTGTAATATTTTCATTTGACGTAATGGTGATTCGAAATACCATTGTTGATGATCAATCATTTTGCAGAGATCTAAAATTACCTTGCTAACACCACACCAACCTCTTTTCATTGTAATTTCAAATAGACCTCTGAGAATTCTTGAACTGTTTTGAACGGTATAGTTTGAATCACTTACTAAACTAAAGCTATCGATTGATGAACGTGATAAATAACTTTGTAATAAACATTTAACCTTTGAATGACTATCAAGAACAGTAGTCTCGTAGAAACATTTTTCTTCTGCTAACTTGTCTAGCTCGGTACTTTCTTCTTCACGGAGTGTAATGTTTTCAAACTCTGAACTATTTGAAAGAATATTTAAAATTTGATCTTGATAAAGTTGGTCATGAAGCATTTCGTTAAAGGTTTCAATTGATGGATGTTTAATATAATAATGTGAAGCGATTCTACCCAATTCGGTCATTGCAAAGTTTTCAGATGCCTCGTCAAAACGAATCATTTTGCATTGTTCCAATTTTCTGGCGGATCTAATAATGATATCACGTTTGAACTCTTCTAATTGAGGATCTTTTGATCTTTGTGAATGTGGGATACCATAACCTAAAGGATTTTGAAGCATTCTTATAAAAAGATAAGTATAACTGAGCCAATTGATGGCTTCATTAACATTTGATACAGTTCCAAGTACAATTTCAGCATTAAGATGATCTTCGAGATTTGTAATAAATTTACTTTCGATTGGCATACAACTGCTCATCAACATTAAATAATGATCCAGTTTATCTTTGGATGTGATAAGGAAACCTTCACCACTAGTGTCGAATTGTGGACGACCAGCACGACCAAAAATTTGCATAACATCAGATATACCTAAATCCATGAAACCACCATTTTTTGCATCGTAAACTTGTGTACCTTTAATAATAACTGTATGAGCTGGTAAATTGACACCCCAAGCTAAAGTAGCAGTACAAACCAATACTCTGATAACACCTTCAGCAAAATATTTCTCTACAATATTTCTATCTTGTCTTAGAAGACCAGCATGATGCACTGAGATACCATATTGGAATAATGAACGAATTTCTTTACTTTTAGCTCTTTCGACTTCTTTTTTAGCGCCGTATGGTGCATCATCTGAATTGAATCTATAGTTCTTTTCACGAGCAAACTCGGTCATAATTTCGGCTGTTTTTACAGTGTCCTTTCTAGAGTGTACAAAAATCATAACCTGGTGACCTTCTTTTAACGATTTCTCTAAACGTTCATAACATAAAAGATTCATATTATTCTTCATTGCCATAATACCATGGTTATCCTTGACACCTATGAAGTTTTGAGTTAATGGAACTGGACGATATGATGAATCAAAGTAGTGTGTACCGGAGGCAGGAGCTCTAATAAATTTAGCAACATCTTTATAATTTGGTAAAGTAGCAGATAAACCGACAATACGAATCATTTCCTGAGTAGTTTCAACTTGACGAAGTGTTCTTGCGACAATACATTCCAATACTGGACCTCTTTCTTCATGAAGTAAATGAATTTCATCAATGATAATTAAACGTACCAATTTAGTTAAGGCTACATCACTACTTTTTCTAGTTATAACATCCCACTTCTCTGGAGTAGTTACAATAATTTGAGTATCTTTTAGTTCTTTTTGAGTTAGCTGCATATCACCAGTGAGTTCTTTTGATACAATACCCAAGTAAGCTAAACACTTTGAAAACTTCTCTGTCATTTCCGATGCTAAAGCTTTTAATGGTGCTATATAGATAATCTTAAAGTTGTCTTTATCTAAATAGCCATATGGATTTGTGTTGCTTTCAATTTCATGAAGAATAGTTAAAAGAGCAATATTTGTTTTACCAGCACCAGTTGGAGCAGAGATTAAAATGTTTTCATTTGATTTATAAGCAGAATCGAAAACACGCGATTGAATACGATTTAAAGTTTTAATTGGACCAAAAGCTTTTCTACTATTCTCTTTGATTTCCTCTTCGATTGATACTAGTTTTTCGTTATCGGCAAATGGTTTGGCTTGTGAATAAGGAACAACAACTTCGGTGTGAGTTTGTTTATCAGTACGAACTGTGCCCTTTGGCAATGCAATTTTACCAGAGAAGGGAACATCAATTGTAATATCTGCACCTGGGAATTCTTTTTGATTGTAGATTGTTGATGGCACAATATTGTTGTGTAAACTTGTATCTAATAATTTAATTTGCTGAGTTGGTGGCTCAACAACACCTTGCTGTTTGAAACGTTTCTTATCTTCCTTTTTCATTTGTTTATCCATATTCTTTTCGTCTTTAAATTGAATAGAGAAATGATTTAATGGACCAGCATGATTTGAAGAGATGTAACCTGATTGAGTTGATGATAAAATACTATCTATATTTTGAATAACATCTCCAACAAATTCAAAATGATCATAACCAACTAAATTAAATAAATCTTCTTCCATTGTTGTTTTCTTATTTCTGATTGCTAACATAATAGTGTTGAATAATTCTTCGCTTGGAATACCTAAAATTTCGGAGATCTCTAAACACCCATTTCTTAACCATTCTTGGGTGAATCGAGAACTTGGTTGTTGAACAGCAATACCACCATCAGCAGCTAATTTCTTTAATTTCTTTGCTTTTTTGATTTGTCCTGGTTGATGTAAGACTACCATTTCACTTAGTGGTGTATTGACTTCATCATCCCTAGTTTTAGCTTCTTCATCGACATTGTTGTTGATTTTAGTGTTAATAAAGTGGTTAATTTCATCAAACAAAGACATTTCATCTTTATCATAATGTATATCGTAAACAGCACCCCATTCCAATGATTCGTGTGAATCAATACTTTGCAATGATTCTTTTGACTGTAATATATCACTTTCAAATGGATTCTTGATTTTTAATAACTCTTGTACGGTGTCATTTAATTTGGTAAACATTTGAACTTTAAAAAATGAATGGAATATTTGTTTTAAAGATTCACATTTTGAATTCTTATCTTTGTGAGGATTTGACACGATCATAAATGTCTCATATACTGCAGATGAAATTTCATCAGATGGTATTTCGTCATCGTGGATCATATCAATTACAATTTCTTTAAACTTATTAAAAATTGCTCTATTTTCTTTTTCTTTATCTCTGTTTTGTCCTAATAAAAAATTATAAGTTTTTATTTTTTTAATTATTATTATTTATTATTGTTGTTGTTTATATGTTTAACTTTTAAAATACATACTTGGATCACTAAAATAACTCCAAGTAAGTTGACCCTTTTCTATAATTCTATCTTTTTCCTTTTTCTTTTCGTTTCTCTTTTTCATAATATCTTTATTACGCTGTAAGACTTGTTCATCAAACATTTGTGGTGGATTTGTTGATAAAACTCTAAGAGTGTTGCTCAATGATGGTTCATATTTATTTTGATTGTCAAATATCCCCATTTTATAAAACTGTTAAAAAAAAAAATAACCAATAATTATTTTTTTATTAATATGAATATGCGTTTGTGTATGTATATTATAGAATGTTATTTATCTATAAATATTTATTTATAAAACTATAATACAATTTATAATTTAATAAATAAAGAATGAAAAAATTTAATAAAAAAAATAAAAATTTTAAAATTTGGAAAAAAATAAAAAAAATAAAAAATAAAAAAAAAGTGAAAAATTCTCATAAAAAAACAAATTGGGAAAAAAAAATGAAATTATGCACCATATTTAGTTTATTTTTTTATTTTTTTATTTTTTTATAATTTGATTTTGTAAAAATTGGTTATGAACTTCTAATTATATTCATAGCCACTACCATAAGAACTATAATCACTAAAGCTATTATTACCACTATTATTACCACTATTATTACCACTATTATTACCATTATTTTTGCTATTGCTATAAAAACTACTAGAGCTGGTATTTAGTCTTTTATTAAAATCAAATGGAGGAGTTGAAGATGAGGATTTTGGAGATTGGATGCCGGCAATACTAAACGAATCATCTCTAGCAAATGGCCTTTTCTTTGGGGCAAACTCAGCACCACTATAAGAATCCTTGCTAACCGATTCATTTTTACCTATGCTACTATTTGTTTGGATTGGGCTATCATTATCTCTTGACACTGTACCACCCCCGAAATAACCATTTAAATCTCTGTTTATTCCATCTAAATCATTTTTAAGGTTATTAAGAGAACTTTTTAGATTATTATTACTATTATCACTATTATCTATATTATTTAAAATATTACCGTTATTTAAAACACTATTTAAACTATTTCTATTATTAATTTGATTGCTTTCATTAGGTCCCATATTGATATTGGAGCCATGTTCTGTATTACTATTATCACTAATATCTGGTCTATCTGTTTTGTCTGATTTGGTTTTTTTGGTTGCTTTGGTAGCTTTAGTTTCTTTTTTTTCACTAGCGTCTTTTTTAGGTCTGCCAACTCTTTTTTTAACATTTGTATCTAAATTTTCATCTGTTGCTTTTTTTTTATTAATATTGTTGTTTATTTGTGTATTGAAATTATTACTATTAGTTTGAACTTGACTATTCACAGTATTAGTTTGAGGAAATTGCATATTTTTATCATTATAAATATTATTATAATTAATATTATTATTATAATCATTATTACTTTCGTAGTATTTTAATTTAGCATTAACCGTTTTTTCGAAATTTTCAAATTTTCTAGCAATTTGGTGTGACTCTCCTATGGCTAAAAACACCAACCTCTTCATTATCGCATGATCATTTTCCATTGCCAAAAGTATTCTCCTTAACATTTTTGTAGCAGTTTCGGTTTTTCGACTCCAACTACCTACTCTATAAAATTTGATTGAAATATTGTTTTATAAATTATAAAATATTAATTTCGAATTCTTTTTAAATTTTAATTTTGCAAAATATAGATACTTACGGATAAATTTCAATATTCTGTAGTAAAACTTTTCTTAATTTTCCTGATGTATGTTGTTTAATCAAATTATTAAAAACTTCATTAAAATCTGTATAATCTTTAGGAAATTTTAAATATTCTAGATCTTCATTTATAGATTCAGTGTTTGCAGAAGATCCTTTCTCTTTTTTGGTGGTTTCTTTATTATTATTTTTTTCTTTCTCTTTTGCTTCTTCTATTTCAATTAGCTTTTTAAATACTTCATAATTTGAATTGATGTTTCCCAAACTAAAGGTTACACCATATTTTGAGAAAAAAATTGAATCATTTGAAGTTATTATTGGTGCACCATGTAAATCCGTATCAAAAACTTGGAAATTTTGCGCTTTAAAATTTCTATTGTGCATGCCATATTTAAAATATCTATTTTCTGGATGGAAGAATAAAAGGAGTAATACTAAAATATGATTGCTGTTTATTCCCCCAAATTCGGTATTTCGAAAGTTCAATTCTTGAATTGCATCACTTAATATATATGCATTTATATCCCTTTTAAAACCAATGAAATGATCTCTTCCATGGACAATCCAAATTAATCTTGATGTTTTCTTTTCCATAGCCAAATAAATTTGTAAACTTTTTTGGTCTAGATGAATTTTAAATCCATTTTTGACATCATAAACGTTTTTAATCTCCTCACATTTAAACTATATAATAAAATTTAATAATTGATTTTTTTAAAAAAAAAAAAAAAAAAAAAAAAAATTTTATTTTAAAAAAAAAATTGATCTTTTTTTTTAGGAGTGATTTAAAAATCATATATTTTGTTTATAGCCAAAAAATACATTATAACCTTTTTACCTTTATTTTTTTTTTTTATTTTCAAAAAATCAAAATAATAATTAAAATAACAATATGTTTTATTTTACTCCTATAATATAAAGGTTTATTTAATTTATTTAAAAATGTAGCTATTTTTATTTTATTAATTTGGGTGTAGTGTGCCCACCAACCATGTTGACCCGTGCTGCACAGCACACTCCACAACAACACTCTATCATAACAATAAAAACACTCAATAGTTTATTTTATTAATTTTTTTACTCAAATTCCCTATTCAAAGTAGCTCTAAAAAAACTGTGATAATTATAATAATAATAATAATAACTAGATACAATTATAATAAAGCCGCCTACCTTGTTAAAATTTAAAAACTTTCTGCAGTAATGTCATGAAAATAAAAAGAAATAATTAAACAATATTGTTATAACCACCACCTTAATAAATAAGTACACAGGAAAAGTAACTTTGCTATGCGTGTAGTACCTCAATAGTATCTAGCAGAGAGCTCTAATATCAAATAAGATGTCTAGCCCATCAAGATAATATATGCCACCGATGTTTACTTCTTGTCTGTGGAATGCTTTCTTATATGCATTGCAATTGAAGAAATATTTTTGCCACATACTAAAAAAAAAAAAAGGGCTATAAACCAAAGCAATACTATCCAAAGTTCACTCAAACCCTAATAAACCGTTATCCCTGCTTTATATTTCTATACCATTTAGAACATTTTTGAGATCCCATGGGATCTCAGAATAGATCAAAGAAATAAAAAATAAATTTAATCCTATATATTTTTTATCCCTAATTTTTTGTGTTTAAATTTTTATAAGTTTTTTTTTACTTGTATACCTTTTTTTTTTGTATTTTTTATCACATCCTGCTGCACCAACTCGATCAAATAAAAAATAAACCATATAGTTAATAAATATGTTAAATATTACTAATTTATAGCTATTCTTTGTTTATCTTATCTTTATATAGTTTTTTTGAAAAAAAAAAAAAGAGGTATTATATTAAATATATATTTATTTAATATAATACCATTTTTAAAAGTTTATAATCAATAAGAAAAAAATACAAATAAAAATATTTAAAGAGCAAAAAAAAAAAAAAAAAAACTTTTTTTTTTTAATTTTTTTTTTTTTTAATTTTTAAAGTTTTGTGGAAAAAAAAAAAGAAATAATTTTTTAGGGTGGACCAATAAATATTAAAATTATTAAAGAATTATTTACATAATTATATGATTAATCTTAATAAAAGATTTAAGTTTATTTTATTTATTTTTTTTTTGTTTTTTTTTTTATTTTTATTTTTTATTTATAGCTACCTAAAAATTTAATTATATTTTTAGATAGCCATAAATAAAAATTTGTTGATAATTATATTATATTAAATAAATTTATTTTTTTTAGTATCAAATATTTCGTACATTCTATCCATGAATCTTTGTTTATAGAAACCTGGTTTAACGGCAGAGATACCTCTTCCATCTTTTCGGGTAATGTAAACCTTTAAAAAGTGTTCTACTTGTTTGTTAAAGTTGTAGAGTTGCAACATATCGATAACACCAATAAAATAAATTTCTTTTGAGTCTGATGATTCGATACCCTTTGAATAATCGATTATACTACTACTACCACTGCCACTGCTACCATCGCCACTTGTATGATTGTTATTTATTAAGTTATTTAATTCAAATTCTTTTCTTTTTTGTTTGAAATTATCATCGTTTGGTAATACACCAATTAATAATGAATAATCCATAATATTTAAACTTTGTAAAAATGCTGCATCCTTTTCCAATTGCTTTACTATTGATTCTGGGTTAACTGACTCTTGTAATGATAATAATTTTCTATAATTTACAAAATCTAGATCTAAACCTAAACCCATTCCTTTAAAGTTTGGATCATGACCACCCCTATTAATTCTTGAACCTTTAATATCGTATCTTTCTTTTCATTTTAATGCCACTTGGTACTGAGCTAAATACATTTGACATTACTGCTAAATAAATGGTATGATCATTTGGCATTGAAACCTTATGACAACCATAAAATCTTAATAAAAATGAATTTTTATTTTTTGAAAAATGCTATATTTAAATTTTAGTTTTTAAATTAGTAAAATATATTAATATATATATATTATTTTGTTGTTTATACTTACTTCATAAAAATTGTAAATTTTTTTCTTTAATAATATTGATTCTTGTCTTGTAATGGTTTTAATTAAAAATTTATTATCTGGAGTAAAACACATAAAACTACCACTTTTACCTTCGGAGAATTTTTGATTGCTGAGATTTTCAAAGAATGAAGATGCTTCGAATGATTTTAAATAATCTGATGGTGAAATATTATTAAGAGCTCTAATTTTTGCAAAAACAACTGGGCAATAATCTTTAAATTTATGATGACCAACATGACCACCACTTTCATAAGCCTCGCTAAATAATTCTTTTTCAGTATAAACTTTAAAATCTTTAATTGATGATATTGAGTTTTGATAGGTTTGAGATTGTTGATGATAATATGTTGTTGAGCTATTATTATTACTATTGCTGTTTTTATAACCACCACTACCACTATTATTATAATTGCCACTACCATTACCATTGACACTGCCAATACTTGAATTTAAATTAATCAATCCACGTGATCCACTACTATTATTATTATCATTATTATTATTATTATTATTATTATTATTATTATTATTATTATTATTATTATTATTATTATTATTATTATTATTACTATTATTATTATTATTATTACTATTGCTACCATCTTTATTATCTTTTTCATGTGGTAAGTGTTGATAAACTATTGGAGAATTTGAGAATAATGGTTCGGTTGTAGCATGAATAATATTGTCGTTAACTGAAAGTTTTATACCACACAAAGAGCATGTTAAAATGCTTGTTCTTAAGTAACTAGCCAATTGAGCAGGATCTTGACTATCGTCTTGAAGAGATCTAATTAAAGGAGTATTTTCGGTTTCACCAATGTATTTTTGTGTGAAAGGTAAGTATTTTTTTACATTATCCAAGAAGCCTCTAAGAATTGATGGATTTGATAACCAAATAATAGCATTCACAAAACCTTGAATACTGACACCAATAGCATCTAAAAACATTAAAGCATTGGCATGATTTGGAACATCTTTATGGCCTGCAAACTGAGCAATTCTATGAGCCAATGGACCAGCCCAACAAAAAATGAAAACCATAGTATATGTAGACATACGCAAAAGCATATTCTTACGATTACGATCAGTCCAATGTCTGCTGGAAGTTGAACCCAATGCATTTCTTGTTGAGATTGCAGCTATTACTAACGATGATATAGAGATTAAAATATATGACAATAGTGGTATAAAGAATAATAAAAGAAATGGCTTGTTATTTGATTTAATCCAACATGTACCATCACCTGAAGGACCAATTACTGAAACACCTTGCGAAAACATAATTGCTGTTGTTGTTAATGAAAAACCCCAAATCCAAATATGATAGAACTTTGAATAACTTGATGTATTTTCAAAAGGTCTGCTCGTACTTATAATTAAATTTAACGATATCATACCACTCCAACCGATTGATGCTAATCCAAAAAACTGTTGGAATCCCGCTTGTAAAAAGCATGGTCCGTTTTTACCTTGAAAACTATCTGAATGTGGTAATACCGATGTGATTAAATATTTTAAACTGAACATTACATCACACACCGATAAAAAGAATATCATACGAGTTGGATGCCTTCTTAAATCTTTAATAGTAATAAAAGTAATAATAACAAATAATGCCCCAATAAATGATAATAATGCTAATGATCCTGAAACCCTGTATAATAACTAAATTTCATTAAATATATATATGTTCGATTAGTACCATTCACGATTATTACATTGCTGTTATTCTATATACTCTATTCTACTTACATGTATCTCTGGACTTTCACTGCTGCTATTATGAGCGGACGATGATGATAAAAAAAAATTAGTAAACCCTGCTTGAGAATCACTTAACAAGTAATTATGTGTTGCCATTTTTTACTAATTTTTTTCTATGATTATATCTAATTATTTTTAAAATAGATATTTTTATTTATTTCCTATGTACATAAATAATTATTATTATTATTATTATTTTATTATTATTATTAAGCTTTTACTGGTTGGTGGTGTAATTACTATTATGATTAATTTAGAAATCTAATTTATATTTTTTCTTTTTTTTTTTTTTTTATTAAAACCTAAAAAAAAGAAAAAAAACAATAAAATAAAATAAAAAAATAAATATTATTTTTGAAAATTTAAAAAAAAAAGTTTTTTTTATTTATTTTTTTAAAATTTTTTTTTTTTAGAAATTATTAATCGTAAATATTTTGAGAATTATTATAAAATATATTTAATATATTTATATAAATTTATTGAATATTTAGTATTGATGCCTTATTACGAAAATGTTTAAGAAGCTTTTACTATTATTATTTTTGATGATGTGTGAATAAAAAAGATAACTTTTTTTGACAAAGGAAAATATTTTAAAAAATTTTAAAAAAAATTAAAAAAAAAATAAAAAAATAAAAAAAAACTTTTAAAAATAAATAAAATAAATGCTTCATACGCTTTCTTTATGATTTTCGAATCGCTAAGAAAAAATCATATGACGTTTGAAAAAAAAAATTTGGTTTGTTTAGATATTTTTATAGGTTTTTTAAAACCCAAGAAAATCTTTGAAAATTTTATTTCTTTTATTATTATAATGTTGAAAAGATAAATAAATTAATATAATAGATAAAAAAAATTGTTAATAGAATAAAGAAAAATGATTTTATGGTTACAATAGTATTTTTTAATGTTTTTATAATTTATAAAAATAGTAGATGAGGTATTAAATATTTTTTGTTTTTGGATGGTGTTAAAAAACACCTTTTAGTTATAATTTTTTTTTTTTTAAATACTGCAATCAAAAAAAAAAAAAAAAAATAATTTAGTTTTTGAGACTAAACTATTTATTGTTTTTCTGATGATTGTGGATGGTATTTGTTGACAGCAGTCATACCTTGAAGAATAGCGTGTTTGGCAAGTTCACCAGTTAAAATGATACGAACAGCAACTTGGATATCACGAGAGTGGAGAGTGTGTCTCTTTTTCTTTTTGGCTAAACCACCAGCTTCATTGGCGATACGTTCGAAGATATCGTGGACGAATGAGTTCATAACGGCCATGGCTTTTGAGGAGATGGTGAATTTCTTGTTTTCAGATTTACCGGTGGATGGGGTAATTTGTTTTAATAACTTGTGGATATAAGTTGAGAAAGAGGTGTAATCAGACTTCTTTCTTTTGGTTTTTTTCTTTTCACCATCAGCGGCGGTCTTGGTAACTTTTGGAGTTACAGCTTTTTCTTTGTTTTCAGTTGGTTTTTTACCTGCGGCTGGTTTGACCATTTTGATTATTTGTTTGTATTGGTTATAAAAATTTTAAAAAAAATTATATAAAAAAAATTTGGAATATGAAAATATAAATGAAATAAAAAAAAAAAAAAAAATTTAAATAGAAAAAAAATTTTTGAAAAATTAAAATTTTTTTTTTTTTTTTTATTTCTCCTCCATGTATACACCATC